AGAAGGGCCTGAGTCACCGCACCCTGAGGGGCAATTAAAAGAGGTATTAAGCTAAGGATGGGCTGTTCTGAATCATCAAAGAAAACATAACAGTGTTGTGCCAGAAGCAGTGGGAGAATGAAGGAGTACCATTACTTCTCATTATAAATGACCGTTAAGATACAGAAAATCTGTTATGTGTAAAAACAAGCAGGAGGAGGGATGAGGTGAATTTGACCAGGTTCTGGCTGGCATTACAGGTTTCAGAAAGAAACCTCATGCATGAGGAACTGTCAGGGATGACATCACAGTCTATTCTTTAAATCAACACTGAACTGGGATCACTGGAGAAATGTAAATTCTGTATCCAGGTTTCTGCAAAAGACTCTATGTAATGACTTGGACTTCTGGTTGAAATTGTATGAATGGCCAGAGGGGGGCAGCAGTGCGACTTCGATACGCGTGATTTACCGGAAGACGAAACAGAACGGAAATGACGTGACTTTTATTACTCGACAATATATTTAGTTCGCCGTGTGAGAGTTTATCTGCTGCTGCTGAAGAAATCCTGCCAGCTTAACAAACGAAATATGAGAAGGAGGTCAGCCGTGAGCTCAGACTGCTGCAGAACAACCGGAAACCCGAGATAAAGTCACACAGAGCAGGTTTGTGAAACTGTGACGGTCTCATTGAACTAACACTGATCAGAGCGCAGCTTGTATGCTAACAGACTAAAATCAGGGAGCAGCTAATCACACAAGTGCTTCTGTCTTTTTAAAAGGTAAGCGTTTAACACTAAACATCCGGAGAGACACAGCAGAAAGTGACTTTACTAAAACATCGCGGTGAAAACCTTCGTGCTTGCGGACAACCGCGGACTCCATGCGGTGTGTGTGCAGGCCGGTGTACCGCATTCACGGCAAAACAGTGAAACAGAAGCAGCATTCAGGACGTTAACAGAAAACCAGAATGTAGACGCTGGTGTTCCGGGTTAGCTGTTTTTTACCTGAACTAAATAGATTGTTTTAGATATTCCAGTCCGTGTTTCGGATTGCATCCGTGGATTCATCAATTTCTGCGAGTATGTCACGTGGTGATTTAACCAGATTAAAGACCCCGCGAGGAGAGGGGGGGCTCTTATGGTAGGGGCAGTATAGCTGCAGAGGGATCACCAGTTTATTTCTTGATGACTAAAATCACTAGTTTTCTGAATGAAGTTATCAATACCTTGAACTCATTCATACTTTTTACAATAAATGAACACAGCAGCGTCAGTGTTTATATATTCCCCATGATGTTTGATTATTTAAGATGATCATTTGTTTTTCACAGTAACCATCGATTGTTTTAAGACAATCACCACTAAAACATCTCCATGATGACATCTTAAGTGGCTGACATTCAGTTATTTTTTTGTAATTGTCTCTTTAAATGGTACAGTTACATTTAAAGAAACACTGATCCGCTCAGAGCTGTAAACTGACTGCAGCACACATGTTTCACACTGAACAGCTCGCTGGAAACAGATTATTCCAATGTGATTCATTAATTAACATGATATTTGGTCTGTTTCTATCACGAGTCCTTCTGTGAAGCTAGTGAAAGAGACACTTTTGGTCATTTTATACAAATTAAAGTGATGTTTTGTTTTATTGAGCAGGAAGCCACCTGTGTTAAACTGAGCAGGAGACCATCTGAATTAAGGAGTTGGCTAATTAGGCCTAGTCTTTTATCAACCAAGCTTTAGAACAGGATGTCTTGAGTAAACTCGAGACTCCGTTGGGCTGCTTAGTGGTATCAGAAAAAGAATGTTAGCTTGTGGTCACAGAAACAGGTTTGAGTCTTGTCAGAGTTTTCATTATTTGATCTTTTTATTTTAACTTACAAATATTTTATTTTAAAGTTGGTTTCTTCAATGTAGAGGTCTGAGCACTCTTCACTGCACTGCATACGCTCCTTTACAAAACAACATGGTGCAT